AATGATGGTGATCTTGCTGGGACATGGTGCCACTCACTGCTGCAAGTCCTCGTGACCATCGTGCCAGCACAGCTCGGGCGAGCCTGCCCAGGCACTGCGTTTCATGGGCCAGTGTCTGACCAGACCTCCCTCGGGCAGGCTGGCTGGCTCTGAGAGCACTGCATCCCTCTTCCAGCAGTGACAGTAGCTGGTCACCAGGCCAGGACATTTTAAAGGGTTTGCTCATGAAGGGTGACAACGGAGCTCCACGCCTGCCCATGCCTGGCATTTCAAGGGTGCAATTTCCATGGCAGTTGCCTTTGCAGCTGACACCCGGTTTTGGAGGGGACAGAGCTAGCCTCCAAGGTGACCTCAAGAGATGAGCAGGGGGTGAGCTGCAGCACCCAGGGGAGATTTGGGCCTAATCCTTGTGACACCTTATACCCAGAGAGAGAGAAAAACGGCAGAGGACAAGCCGGGTGCGGAGGGGGGGGCAATGGCTGAAAGAACCGGGCAGTCGCCTCCATCACATTTCAGGGAGTTTGTTTTCCTCCTGTCTCCTCAGATCTGTCCTCCCTCTGCGCTTGCACACAGCCATGTGGCACAGCTGCCCTGGAGAAGTGGCAAGGGGAGGGGGACCGGCTTGTTGGGAGACATCCCAGAGAGGATGCACGGCTCCAGACATGTTGTGTGGATGGGGATGCATCCCTCGGTGTGAGCTGGGTGGAGAGCGGGGGGCTGGCAGCCTGCCCGGGACCCCCACCACAGGCAGGGTGGGTGGGATGGGTGCTGGCAGTCCAGCTCGCTCACTCCGGTGGGAAAGCCTCTTTGCTGAAGGATGAATCTGCAAGTCCTCCCAGGCCACCTGCAGCCGTGCCGGGGGGCCCTGGTACAGTGCTACCCTCGGGCACCTTGAGGCGGGAGCCAGCCCTGCAGAAAGCCAAAAACTGGCATAAAGATCATGGGATTAAAAAAAAAAAAATGGAAAGAAGCAAAGTTTTGGGACTTTTCTTATTTCATCTCCAGCTCCTGAGCCTCCGGGCTACACTTGTTTTACCTTTGCAAGGCTTTTCTCTGTGAGCCGGAGGACTAGAAACCCACGTCTTGCTGAGGAAAGCAGAGCTCCATGGGCACTAGTGTGGGTGGGGAACCTGGCAGGGCTTTTGGGGCTCCAGCTCCTTCAATTTCAAAAACCACTGAGCCCCCCTCGCACGGCCAGGGAGGGGGAGGTGGCACAAGAGTGGCGGCGAGGGCAGCGCGGCTTGCAGAGGCATCCGATCCCCTGAGGTAAAGCCGGTGCAACAGGAAAATGTCTCTGGCGGTGATGTGGAAGACGGCAGAAGGGCCGCTCAGGTGTTGCTAATTTTTATGACGGAGCTTTTTTTGTCTTTGCAATCCTGCTGCTCGGCAAGGCATGACATTTCCCTGCCGCCGCCATCCCAGCCGGCCCTTCTGCCGCTGGTCCTGCCGCCTGGCAAGGGCAGGCTCACGGTGGCCACCGTCACCACGCAGCCAGCAAGCTCTTGTTGGGGGCTGAAGGACAACCTGGAAATGTGAGCTGAACACCTAAATGTGAACTCCACACTAAAATATCCCCTGCCCTTCCAAAGAGCCCTTTGGTACAAGGCATCTCTAGTGCACATACCACTTCCCCGCTGCATGATGGTGCAAGTGTTTCCCCTTCACCTAAAGCTCTGGAAATACTTTGGGTAGAGCAGCCTCGAGCCGTCAGCCCTCCCCATGAAACGGGGGCTCCAGCCTTGACTCCAGAGGGGCAAACTGGGGCAAGAGAGCTCCCACATTTCCAAATGCTTAGCTCTCTGTATCTTCCACGCCTCCCAAAGTCAGGGGCCCAAGGTCTTGTCTCAGGCCTCTAAACGCCAAAGGAATAGAAGTCAGGAGATTCTTCTGGCTGTGCTGCGCTCAGCAACGTGCCTGGGGTAATGTGGCAGCTCTGGGGCACGGCAGGGAGCTGCTTTCTGAGCCAACTTTGCTCTGCCCAGTGTCCAGTTCCCCCTTCCCACCTCCCAGGCTGAACACTGGCAAAGAGACCCTCCGGCTGAGCTCTTCTCCCAGTGTTCGGCTCGGTGTGCGGCAGCCTCCCCTTCCCCAGTGGTGCCGGAGCCAGCTCCTCCATCCATGCCAGCTGCTCCATCCTTAAAAAGAATGGTGGCTGGGAGTTTTTACACCTATTTCGGACCTGGCCCAAGACTGCTGGGCTTTCTGTGCCGCCGGCAGTAGAGGGGAAACTCATTGCTGGTGGATGCCAAGTGCTTATTTTCCTCCTCACATTTGCAATTACCTCCGTTGGTTGTGACAAACATTGGCAAGCTTTAAAAATTAGCAGGGCAGCCTCAACCCTGCATTTACACTCCTTGCTCCGGCAGCCCCAGCCTTGCCTTTAAGCCCATCACCAGCCAGGGCATGAGCATCATCATCCTCTGCTCATGGAAGACCAATGGTACACCCCAAAACACAGCGCGGGGGGCAGAAAGCAAAGGGCGAGACCAACACCAGCATCAGCAGGTGACCGCATGGCGTGTCCATGGGCTTTTGTCACAAGATGAATGTCCATCACTGAGACCCCCATTTGGTGGGACATCAGAGTCATTGGGGACATCAGGGACATATCCCTCTTGCAGCAGCTATGAGACTGTGAACCTAGTCCTCCAAGAGGAGGGATGGGTGAGGATCAACACCTGTAGAAGGTGCCCTGCAGAAGGCCTGGAGGGCTTGAACGTGGCTCTGCCCCTGCCCACGGTACGTGAGCCGGCACAGGCGAGGCTTCACCGTCCCCTCCGCCCGCACCCCGACGTCGGGATCCCACGTGCACGGGCGTGTGCTCCAGCCACCGTGCTTGGGCAGTTGCAGAAGTGAGAGCAGACCTGTCACATCCTCCTCCCCGAGCCCGCTCTGCTGCTTTGGCACATTTTTAATGATGCTCGGCTTGCTCCAGTCTGAGATGCTCCTATAGTCATATACATCTCACTGTCTGGATTTTCAGGTTGTCTCCTGTTGTTCTTAATTTAGTCCTCTTCCTCTCATTACACATTTTCCCGCTTACCTTGTCCTTCGCAGAGCTGGAAGTGGTTACCGAGCCCCTCATCTGGTCTTGGCACTTCACAAACCTCACGCAGATCTTCAGAAGTAATTTGTTGGGAGTCAGTATCTCACCTTCTTTTCCTTCCCTTCTTTTCCCCAAGATTTTCCACTGATCCTTCTACATCCCTGGTCATGGGATTTTCCGCTGTCACTCATCACCCGATCCCTTGCCTCCTCAGGGTGGGGACGCTGCCCTTTGGTTTGGCTCAAAACTGCTCACTTGCTGTCTTCTCACCTCCAGAGTGCACCAAGCAGTGCCAGCCTTCCCCCGTCCTTGCTTTATATGGGACTTTTTTATCCCCAGAAATATTTGCTTAAGCTGAATCTCACTCTGAGAGCTTGCAATGGCCATATGCTCTGGCGGTGAGCTCCCAGCAGGCTGGGTGGGCGATGTGCTCACGTGTGTCGAGGGACGGTCCCTCGCTGCCTGGTGAGACAGGGGGTGGGAGGGGTGTGGGATCTCCAAGGAGCAGGGGCAACCCATCCCCAATGCCAAGGCTCTTCTGCTGTCATTAGAAATGGTGGCAAGCAGGCAGCAGTCAAATTGCTTTTTAAAATGAGTTTCGGGAAGGTATAGTGAATATTTTCTATTTATCCAATGCACAGCAATGAAGAGTGGGATGGAGGGGGTGGCTGAGGCTTGGCAGCAGGGACTTTTCACCCCTGGCTATCACAGGTGAAGAGCACTTACTTGGATTCAAGGGAAGACCAGACAAGCTCAGGAAGGAGAAACCCTTTGAGATGTACCAAAACCAAGAAATGACCCCTGGGTCAGAAGGCCTTCAGCCCCAGGCTGCTGGAGACGAGGAGATGGCCTGGGAAAGTCTCATTGAACACTTGCCCTCCTACGATCTCCTCTGCATCTCCCTTTGGTCGCTGTCAGAGAGGCTTCCCGCAGCTGGACAACCCCTTGGTCTGACCCTGCCTGCTCTTACCCTTCGTTCTGAGGAGTTCAAAGCCACGATGGCTTCGGCTGGCGTCCCTGGGTGACAAACATAGGACTTGTTTCACCCAGAGCCCTGCTGGTGGCATCTGTCCTTGTCCCCACGCTGGGATTTGGGAGGCAGAAGGAAAATGCCGTATCTGGTGGGAACACCAAGGTGACTCCCGATTGCCACAGCGAGGCTCCTGCCGGCACGGCGCCGGGATGGCTCCTGAGGGGGGGAAAGCGGCACGCTTGATTTTTAGTCTCCCAAAAGACAGAGGCTTATTGCACAGCGAAATGTCATTGGGTTAATGACAGGAGACCTGAAGCAAATCCCTGACGCTAATAGGATTGGGCCGTCTTCAGCAGGTCTCACTCGCAAGGGCGGATCAGGCCAAAGCAAACCGGCTCGGGAGCCAGCAGGTTCCCAGCAGGCGAGCGAGCTCTGCCTGCAGCCAGCTCTCTGATAGCAAAGCCCTCTCCCTCCTCCCTAATCCAGGAGAAAGAGACATCAAAGGGTGAGTGCATCCTCCCCGGGACCGCTCTTGGGAAGCAAGGGCAAGCAGAGCCCACGGTCTGACGATGGAGAGGGGAAAAGGCAGCTCGGTGCGTGCCCAGGGAAGGGCAGTGGGAGGAAGGTGATGGTCCCGAAGGTGGCACACAGCTCCAAGTGGAGGCGATGTGAGGGAGCAGCACATCCGCACCTCCACGTTTTCTTTAGCTTCTCACTCGCCCTCATCCTCTGCCATGTAAAAAGCAAACCTGCTCTGCTGGCCCCCCCTTCCCTTTCCCTAGTATTAGTTAAGGACCTTTCCTGCCCAGTTCTGCTCATGAGCTTTCCCTGATGCCTGCCCAAAGCCCCTCTTTCTCAGGACACATCCCTGATTGCTTTTTCACCCCTTTGCACCTCAAGCAAGGGCAGGAGTGGGAAGTGTGGGGTCAGCCCTTGCTGGAGGAGGGTTGTCGTGAGAGGAGGGAGGTGCTGAGCCCCTCCATGTCGCTGCTGGAGGAGCCTGTCCCCCATCACGGGGCAGAGCAGGCGGAGGAGGAGGAGGAGGTGGATGTGCTCCTGCTGCCGGTGTCCCACTAGCCACCCTCTGTTTCCATGTTGAAACGTTGTCCTTGTAGAAGATGAGGAGATTTCATCCATCTGCTGGGAGGTTTGCATGCTCAGACACACACCCCCACCCCCCCACACACACATTTACATGGCTGTGTCCCCTTCCACAGCCCATATTCCCCATGGCCACCCTGGATCACCGGCACTTACACCCCGCTACAACCGCACACACGCTTACACCCTCCTGGCCCAAACCCATGCTGGGTGGGAGTGACGAGCCCCCGCACGTCCCCTGCTGCCCGGGGATGAGGAGGGGCAGCTGGTTTGCACAGAGGTCCCCTGCCGTGCCGGCCGTGCCACGCTGCCCCGCAGGCTCCGAGCCCCCCGTGGCACCGGAGCGTACCTGGCAGCCGGCCGGCACCTGTGCCGGAGCCCGCGCTTGGCACAGCCGCCCTTCCCGAGGAGAGGCTCTGCCCGCTGCTGCCGGTCTGACGCCAGGCCGGCACGCCACATGCTGCTGCCAGCCATATGGCCTCCTCCCGGACTCAGCCGCCGGAACAGGAGCCCTAAATCCCAACCCCCCCACCAAACACCAATAACTCACTCTGCCGCCGCCACCACCATCTCAGGTCCTGAATCATGGGGGGAAAGCGTTGGGTCCCTTTCGCTGCCATAGACCTGGGCTTTTTTTGCTCCACAGTTGGCAAAAATAGCCTGGGGCTGGCCCTGCTGCCCCCTGCCTGCTCTGCAATGGACCCCCCTTTACACACAGCATCTCCCCCGGCCCCAGGGATGCCTCGCATGGGGACGGCTGCTCTCCTCCCTTCTCCATTTGGGTGCATTGTGCCCTAAATGATTGTGGATTGAATCAGCGCCTTGTATGAGGGGTGGTCTGGGGAGAGAGCGGCCGGGGGAGCGGGGCGGTGGGGAGGAGGAGTGCAGCCGGGGGTGCTGCGGCACTGCCGGGTAAGCTGGGCTGTGCACTACCACCTTCAGGTGTGCTTTTATGGCCTTTTAATGCTCAAAAAAGCTGCTGGAAACTTGCTTTAAACAGGAAAGCAGAGGATGCTCGAGGGTCTCCATGGCTGTATCTGCCAGCCTGGACCCTGCTCACCGATACCGCAGTGTAAAGGAGAAATAAGCCCTTGTTTTGAGCAGATTTTCTCCTGATTCCTCTGGATGTCATTTGGGTTCGAATCCATCCGCCTTTGGGAAGCTGGGAGCTTGCAGTTCTCGACTTTTGAATGTTTGCAATTATGATTGTAATGGTAAAGGCACATATGCTTCTGTGTTTTCTATAAGCCATTATGAGGCACAGTTGCTGTTTTACAGACGTTTTACAGCCAGAGCATCAAGCACAGGCAGGGGAATAAAACCCTTGTGCACGTTGGGCTGGAAATAAGGTGGCTGGAGGCTGCTCCAGGCTCTGCCATCACCTGCCCATGCCTCCAAAATTCATTTAACTTTCCCTTGCTTTAGCTCTCCATCACTGACACCAGAAGGCCCAAGCTCGCCTTTGGGCTCCCTCATCTGTTGAGCCCGTGAGGACATGTGAACATCTTACTGTGTGTTACCCCAGCACCTGACCCCAGGGATCCCTTATCCCAGTCCCAGACAGCAAGTCTGGGAAAACTCAGGGCTTCCCAGCGGGATGCTGATGGCCAAAGAAATTTCCCCCATAGTGAATGGGAAATGCAAGGAGAGCCTCTTCCCTGGCTCTACCTCCAGCTGGAGCGGCACAAGCTTCAGTAGCCAAAGTTTTGGAGGGGAGCAGGTTTCTCTGGGGTGTCCTGGGGGATGGCAAGAGGTGTGGGGGATGCCAGCCGCCCTTGTACCCCCAAGGACAGGGAGGCCGTGCCTCCAGGCAGAGGACAGCATTGCAGTGTGTGCTGGAAGCTCTTCCTGACAGCCTTCCTTCGCCTTCAGCTCTTCCCGGCTGGCGATGTCAGGCGTTAGCTGCTGATTTGCAAGCAGCAAAACCCACCCCAGCAGCACTCCTCGGCACACGGGCAGGAGGTGCCAGCTGGTGGGAGCCCCCCTGCCCTTGCACAGCCCTTCGGTGTGGGGCATCCACCCCACAGCAGTATCCTCCTCCATTCACCCTTTGGCCTGGGGCCAGCTTAATCCTGCATGGCAAAAGTCACTTTTTTGGGCAAATGGCTGTGATTCCCCAGCTCTAGGAGGGGCTCCCTGTGTAGCTTTGGGGCTCCAACCACCCATCATTGGCTTTTCCTGGGAACTGATTGCACCCCAAAGCCTCCCACACTCAGGGAGGCTCCTGTGGCTTTGCTTCCCATTGGCAATGGTGATGGTTCCCTCCTCCTCCTCAGGCAGGGCCTGGCAGCTCTGCCTGGCTTGCACCCCCATGGTCGGCGGGGATCTGGGTCTGTCGGGCGCTCTGGCCGCGACAGAGAGGATCTCCTCCAGATCGCCATGCCCTGCCAGAAACAATCTGTTTATATTGTCAGCACTCAGCGTATCCCTTCCCGCTCAGTGTTGAACTGCCCGTATCCTATTTCTGCAGGCACAGAAACACCCTTCTGTAGTCCGGGTGGCATTGTCACCGCAAGGGATATTTCCATGATATCCTCCCAAGGCTCGTCACCAAAGCTTACAAGAGCTCCACTCTCAAATCCCCACCCCCAGAAGTGCCCACGGATCTTGCAAGCACAGCCTTTGCTTTTTCTCCAGAGGTCCCCCCTGCTGACCTGAATTTTCCTACAGGTCCTGCCGCTGATTCCCCAGGGATGTGAGAGGTGTGGGTGCTGGGCTATAGGATTTCCCTCCCATAGCCCCCTCCCTTTTGGGATGCAGCTAGTGGCTGGGTGGCTTATTTGACAAAGATGAGCTGACGGCTCAGCAGGGCTGCGGGCTGCAGCCCCCGGTGCCAGCACTGCACGGAGCCAGCCCCTGCGGGGTCTTGCCCTGCGTGCTGGGGACGTGCTGGGGACGTGCTCCTCCACCCCGTGCCCTCGGGTTTGGTTTCCTTCTGGGTTGATGCGCGCAGCTAACGCCTGCAAGCAGCTCTCCCTCCCTCCCTCTTGCTCCCAGAGACCCTTTAAATCGACTGCTTCGCACTCAGTGAACATCCTCTCCCCCTTAAAACCATTCCCTTTCTCCCAGGTCATGCCAGGCAACCACTTTCCAGCAAATTCCCTGATTTTGGCTAGTTTTTCGCTCTGCCTGCTAACAGCCTGCTAAAGCCTCCGGGCCCCTGGGGTGGCTCTTCTCGCACGCACGTCGGGAGCGATCGCCCAGCGCCTGGGAAATGACTGCTGGCATTACCTGGGCAGCCAGCAAACTTTGCTTGCGCAGCTTCTCTCAAGGCCGAGGCTGCTGTCAGCTATTAGCGCTAACGACCCCCATGTCTGCAACTTCCAGCCGATGGGGCCTTTCATCAGAGAGCCCCTCGGAGATTCGGGGAAGGCATGCTTATGGAGATGCACAGTTTTCTTCCGCCTCACTGGCTTTTTATCTCTTTTGGGAAGCTCTGGAGGCTGCAAGCTACCTTACCTAATGGATCTCTATTAGGTTGCGGCACTGGGGGCCAATCGGACGTGTCCCGGGCTCCAGCTGCTCTCCTTATCCATGTTTTCAATGTCTTTGGCTTTTGCCAGCCTCCAGATGGGAAGCGGCTGGGGGCCTGCAGGGACCAGGCTTGGTGACCGGGAGAGAGGATATCTTATCCCCTAATTCCCTCCTGCAGCAAAACATGGCAGCGTTTCACCCTTGCTGGGGGGGGGGAAGCTGTTTGTGCAAAGCTCTGGCCCAAAACATCACATCGCCGTGATGTGCGGGGATGATGACGGCCCGTTTCACTCTCCCCACATGCCTGCAGGAGGCTGCCCAAGCCCCCAGCTGGGACGGTTGTCTCTGCAGAAGCTCCACATTGGTGTGAGACCCTCAGCCTGCCACCCGTGGTGGGGCAGGGAAGGGATGGGGCCCAGCGACAGGCTGGTCTATGGGGGCTTCAGCATTGGCCTGAAAGAGGCACCCATCGGAGGGAGCTGAGCCTTCCCAACACATTTAATCCCACCGTGATCATTACAACATCTTTTTGTATCACCACTTGCTCGGTGGAGGGGGCTGTGGTCTCCCCTGCTGGCACTGTGAAGCCCAGAGGCAGCCCCAATCCCCACGTTAGGGTACCGACGGGGTACAGCAGGATGAGGCAGTATCCAGCCTCTCTCCCCCAGAGCACGGAGGGAATGATTTGCCCAAGCAGACAGTGCTGGTGCTGGATTTGCTGCCCTTCCCCGGGGCAGGATGCAGGACTGTCTGGAGAGGACCAGGCTGCAACTACAGCTCCCGCATGTCACTGCCCCTCGCCCCAGCCACCCCTTGTCCGGGGCTGCACAACGTGACGGTGCTGGGCGAGGAGCTCGATGCTGCCTCAGTTTCCCCCACCCTGCTCTTGCCGCAACAGCCCCGGAGCAGGGAAAGCAAATCCCGCCCTTTTGGGGAGAGGACCTGGCAGTGAGGATCAATACCATCTTTATGGGTGGCACCGGCCAGCGAGCAAAGCAGTGGGTGCCTATCACCCAGAGAGGTCCTGACTTTGAATCCCAAACAAGGGGCCGGCCAGTGGCTTGCTAAAAAATCATCACGGCTCTGAGGAGGGTGCCCCAGTACCCCCCACTTCGTGCATCCTGCAGCCTTTCCCCCGTGCACAGCTCCCCTTGGGGGATGCTCTGATGCT